CGCCAGTTTCAGTAACTAAACAGTTGTGTATTGACATTTTCGAAATATTTTCTATAAAATAAATCTTTTGGTTTTACAGTTTATAGTTTTTATAATTTTAATTTTGTTCTTTTATTTTACTGTTGACAACTAAATAACAAATTTTTTAAATTATTTAATATTAAAATTTTGATTTAATAATAAAAATTTCTTTTCAATCAAAATTTATTTTTAATGAAAATTCCTTTAGAAAAAAAAAATTTTTTTAAAATTCGCTTCAATTAATTGAGTTAATTAAAATAACTAATTTTTTAAATTCAGAAGACAATTTCTTTTCAAGATTATATACTCTTATTATATGTATAAATATTAATTTAACAAACCTGTTACATACAAAAAGTTAGAATTGGTCCAATAAAGTGAGGTTATGTTTTACATTGATGAATTGACGTTGACATATGTATAGCTCTCCGATCTGAATAACAGAACTGTCTATAATTAATGACAGTAGACAGTAACAATTTATTACTAATTCCTTACGGAAAAAATAGACATAATTCTAGTTACACCCGCGAATTATTTCTTTCAGTGTATACTCTGATGTATTTATGGAAAATGTCTACACAACACTGTTCAGTTGCTGGACTGACGGTAGCGCTAACGCCACGACAAACTTTGAAACATAATTTCACGGAACGCCTAGACAGTACCATGAGAATAACTGGACAGACAGAACTTCTATACAGTAATAATCAATAAGTTCAACTTTAGAGTGTTATGCAGTAGCTGTCCAGTAATTCGCCAGTTGAGCTAGAAAAGATGAAAAAGGGAACTGCTTTACCTGCCGGTAGAGTATGGTTCTTATTTTTCCGGAATCGTCCATCGACTAGAACGGCCGTGATGCGTAAAGCGTGCGTTTAGGTATTTCGTCCCAGTGTGACCCGAGTTCGCTCCCCGAAACCGCTAGATATTTTTCGTTTGAACTGAATTAATTCTTCATATTAGGGTTTTCTTATAAGTTTGTAGTGTGATAAAATAATAATATTTATTTCAGTGTTGTGCTTAATTAAAGGAAAAAGTGAATGTTGTTTAATGTAAAAAAATGACATGTGTTCAAGAATCAGTAATTTATATATTTTTTTTTAATTATGTAGTTATTTAAAAATAATTTTACAGATAATTTATTATAAATCATTTATTATACGGAACAATAGATACACCAACAGTAAAAATATAGTTTCGTAAAATTTTAATTTATTTAATTTGTTGACAAAAAAATTTAACGTTATATTTTCAAAGGACCCCGCACAAAATACATAGAAAAAAACTTTCGGTCAAATTAATTAATACTTACAGAAAGTATGTAAAATGTAATTCTAAAAAAGATTTTCCTCTGACAAAATATCGATTTCCGGGTTGATTTACTCGCTAGCATTCATTAAAGGTCAAACACCAAAAATCGCAACATATGCGGGATAGAATTAATAAACGTACATAGGTAACCAATAATGTTAAAACAAGTTTACTTTAATAAATAATAAATAATAAATAATAAATAATAAATGATAATTAATAAACAATAAATAATAAATAATAAATAATAAATGATAAATGATAAATAATAAATAATAAACAATAAAAAATAAATGATAAATAATAAATAGTAAATAATAAGTAATAAGTAATAAATAATAAACAATAAACAATAAATAATAAGTAATAAATAATAAACAATAAACAATAAATAATAAATAATAAGTTAAGGCAAGAATGTGTTACTTCCATCCAATCAAGGGAAGAAGTAACATATCCTCCGGCCATTCAAGGCAGGAAATCATAGTTCCAGCCAGTTAAGGCAAGAATGTATACATCCATCCAATCAAGGGAAGAAGTAACATATCCTCCGGCCATTTAAGGCAGGAAATCATAGTTCCAGCCAGTTAAGGCAAGAATGTGTTACTTCCATCCAATCAAGGGAAGAAGTAACATTTCCTCCGGCCATTTAAGGCAGGAAATCATAGTTCCAGCCAGTTAAGGCAAGAATGTGTTACTTCCATCCAATCAAGGGAAGAAGTAACATATCCTCCGGCCATTCAAGGCAGGAAATCATAGTTCCAGCCAGTTAAGGCAAGAATGTGTTACTTCCATCCAATCAAGGGAAGAAGTAACATATCCTCCGGCCATTCAAGGCAGGAAATCATAGTTCCAGTCAGTTAAGGCAAGAATGTGTTACTTCCATCCAATCAAGGGAAGAAGTAACATATCCTCTCCGGCCATTTAAGGCAGGAAATCATAGTTCCAGCCAGTTAAGGCAAGAATGTGTTACTTCCATCCAATCAAGGGAAGAAGTAACATATCCTCCGGCCATTCAAGGCAGGAAATCATAGTTCCAGCCAGTTAAGGCAAGAATGTGTTACTTCCATCCAATCAAGGGAAGAAGTAACATATCCTCCGGCCATTTAAGGCAGGAAATCATAGTTCCAGCCAGTTAAGGCAAGAATGTGTTACTTCCATCCAATCAAGGGAAGAAGTAACATATCCTCTCCGGCCATTTAAGGCAGGAAATCATAGTTCCAGCCAGTTAAGGCAAGAATGTATACATCCATCCAATCAAGGGAAGAAGTAACATATCCTCCGGCCATTTAAGGCAGGAAATCATAGTTCCAGCCAGTTAAGGCAAGAATGTGTTACTTCCATCCAATCAAGGGAAGAAGTAACATTTCCTCCGGCCATTTAAGGCAGGAAATCATAGTTCCAGCCAGTTAAGGCAAGAATGTGTTACTTCCATCCAATCAAGGGAAGAAGTAACATATCCTCCGGCCATTCAAGGCAGGAAATCATAGTTCCAGTCAGTTAAGGCAAGAATGTGTTACTTCCATCCAATCAAGGGAAGAAGTAACATATCCTCCGGCCATTTAAGGCAGGAAATCATAGTTCCAGCCAGTTAAGGCAAGAATGTGTTACTTCCATCCAATCAAGGGAAGAAGTAACATATCCTCTCCGGCCATTTAAGGCAGGAAATCATAGTTCCAGCCAGTTAAGGCAAGAATGTGTTACTTCCATCCAATCAAGGGAAGAAGTAACATATCCTCCGGCCATTCAAGGCAGGAAATCATAGTTCCAGCCAGTTAAGGCAAGAATGTGTTACTTCCATCCAATCAAGGGAAGAAGTAACATATCCTCCGGCCATTCAAGGCAGGAAATCATAGTTCCAGTCAGTTAAGGCAAGAATGTGTTACTTCCATCCAATCAAGGGAAGAAGTAACATATCCTCTCCGGCCATTTAAGGCAGGAAATCATAGTTCCAGCCAGTTAAGGCAAGAATGTATACATCCATCCAATCAAGGGAAGAAGTAACATATCCTCCGGCCATTTAAGGCAGGAAATCATAGTTCCAGCCAGTTAAGGCAAGAATGTGTTACTTCCATCCAATCAAGGGAAGAAGTAACATTTCCTCCGGCCATTTAAGGCAGGAAATCATAGTTCCAGCCAGTTAAGGCAAGAATGTGTTACTTCCATCCAATCAAGGGAAGAAGTAACATATCCTCCGGCCATTCAAGGCAGGAAATCATAGTTCCAGTCAGTTAAGGCAAGAATGTGTTACTTCCATCCAATCAAGGAAAGAAGTAACATATCCTCCGGCCATTCAAGGCAGGAAATCATAGTTCCAGCCAGTTAAGGCAAGAATGTGTTACTTCCATCCAATCAAGGGAAGAAGTAACATATCCTCCGGCCATTTAAGGCAGGAAATCATAGTTCCAGCCAGTTAAGGCAAGAATGTGTTACTTCCATCCAATCAAGGGAAGAAGTAACATATCCTCTCCGGCCATTTAAGGCAGGAAATCATAGTTCCAGCCAGTTAAGGCAAGAATGTGTTACTTCCATCCAATCAAGGGAAGAAGTAACATATCCTCCGGCCATTCAAGGCAGGAAATCATAGTTCCAGCCAGTTAAGGCAAGAATGTGTTACTTCCATCCAATCAAGGGAAGAAGTAACATATCCTCCGGCCATTCAAGGCAGGAAATCATAGTTCCAGTCAGTTAAGGCAAGAATGTGTTACTTCCATCCAATCAAGGGAAGAAGTAACATATCCTCTCCGGCCATTTAAGGCAGGAAATCATAGTTCCAGCCAGTTAAGGCAAGAATGTATACATCCATCCAATCAAGGGAAGAAGTAACATATCCTCCGGCCATTTAAGGCAGGAAATCATAGTTCCAGCCAGTTAAGGCAAGAATGTGTTACTTCCATCCAATCAAGGGAAGAAGTAACATTTCCTCCGGCCATTTAAGGCAGGAAATCATAGTTCCAGCCAGTTAAGGCAAGAATGTGTTACTTCCATCCAATCAAGGGAAGAAGTAACATATCCTCTCCGGCCATTCAAGGCAGGAAATCATAGTTCCAGTCAGTTAAGGCAAGAATGTGTTACTTCCATCCAATCAAGGGAAGAAGTAACATATCCTCCGGCCATTTAAGGCAGGAAATCATAGTTCCAGCCAGTTAAGGCAAGAATGTGTTACTTCCATCCAATCAAGGGAAGAAGTAACATATCCTCTCCGGCCATTTAAGGCAGGAAATCATAGTTCCAGCCAGTTAAGGCAAGAATGTGTTACTTCCATCCAATCAAGGGAAGAAGTAACATATCCTCCGGCCATTCAAGGCAGGAAATCATAGTTCCAGCCAGTTAAGGCAAGAATGTGTTACTTCCATCCAATCAAGGGAAGAAGTAACATATCCTCCGGCCATTCAAGGCAGGAAATCATAGTTCCAGCCAGTTAAGGCAAGAATGTGTTACTTCCATCCAATCAAGGGAAGAAGTAACATATCCTCCGGCCATTTAAGGCAGGAAATCATAGTTCCAGCCAGTTAAGGCAAGAATGTGTTACTTCCATCCAATCAAGGAAAGAAGTAACATATCCTCCGGCCATTTAAGGCAGGAAATCATAGTTCCAGCCAGTTAAGGCAAGAAGTAGCGATTTTTCTAGCCATTAAGAGCAAGAGTTTTTTTTGTCCGGGTTTGTTTTAAATGTAGGGGTCTATTATTTCATGGTTGTCAACATCCATTGCAGCGTTTTGCACAGTTCTTAATAATCGTGTTGAAGGATATCTAACGTTATCCTCGTGTCTAGCGTATCCTAAAAACCAGAGAATGGATGTGATGTGAGCACACGCACCTAATGTTCGGGCTCCTACCTTGCATATGCAGTAGTACCCTAGAATGGGATTGTTATCCTGGTCTTGATCATTCTCTGGGTTGTACTCTGTATTAAAGACAATCCATATTTGATGCCGTTTTGCATTTGTAAATCTTGAGTAGATACGTAGACGAATAAAACCTTCTTCAATTTGAGTGTTGTCTATTTCAATTGCCTGTTCAATGTCATCGTTCTCATCCTCTTCTTCTGCTCTTAATATGGTATCTTGTACGTAAGATGGAGCAAGATGTAACTGGTACGTTCCAGTTGTTAAATCTTTAAGGTAATTGACAGTCAGTTGTGGAAAAAGAGGAACATGAGCAGCAGTCAATAGAACCCATCGTGCTCTTCTATTTTGCAGATTTTCTAACTCTACTCTCGCTTGTACGACGTTAGGCATTGTACTGCGATTTAACATTTCTTGAGCCATCTCTTCATTCGCTCCTTCCATTGTTATTGGACCTCGATACTTATTAATTATTGCTCCTGCAATCCGAAGAAAATCTGAAAGATTTGGAACGTGAGATGTAGAGATAGTGCCCGAAAAGAATTTAAACATTATTTTTAAATGTCCATTAATTGCTTCTACTATCCATCTTGTTTTCGTTATTAGACGCGATTCATTTGCCTGCTCAGTAGTAAACTGTCTCTGATTACGGTCCAATAGAGGTGGCATTTTAGGCACAATACCAACTCTATCAAGAAATGGAATTGCGTCTCTATATCCTCGATCGACAACGAAAATATCTTCAGGTTGAATCCATCTACGCATGCCATTAATATCTCTTTGGAACTCTTTTATTAAGATTTTTGCATCATTATTTTTCGCATTTGAAAAATATGGTCCTTGAATATCGAGTATATATCCATCTGAAGCCACCAACACCGAAGGTTTAACCAAATGTTTAGATTTATGAACGCAAAAGGATTGTCGCAATGCTTTAAAACAAGAACTTTTTTCAATATCCAAATAAGTGCAATCATTGTAAATAATTGCTTTTGGATTTTCAGGATCTGGATTATACAACTTATTCGAAAAGTCAGTAGTATGCCTTTCAATAAACTCATCCCTTGAAATAGCTGCGAACCCTATATTTTCAACTACGAACTGTTGCATTAATGTTTTTCTAACTGTTGCAATTGCTAGACTAGTAGCTTGTCTCGAAGAATAATTAAACATTACACGTAGTAATTCATCGCTTAGACCTTGACGTAATTTTGTAAGAAAACACAGAAGATCTTTCTTAGAAACATAGCGATGTCCACCAGGTACTTCAATTGCATTTTCACAATAAGCAAACAAATCAAGAAATTGTTCCTTTGATAATGAAGTTAGCACATTACATTCCTGGTCTGTCAATCCATGCTCATCATTGAATTTACCCTGAGCGACATTAAATACTTCTCCACGTAGAGCTTCCAGCAGTGATTGCAATTCTCGACCTCTTATTATGTACGGCCTATTTATGAATCTAAGCTGATCAACAATGTCAGCTTGAAGGAAACCGCTCTCATCCAAATGTTCATTGCAACAAACGTTGTTAACTGGAATATATATATTTCGTTTAACAAAAATGTTTACTCTAGAGTTTAACGAAAGCCTATGAACATTGTTAGGAGCATTGCAGACAACACAAGTGTGAGAAGATGTCTGAGATATGACATTTAATCTCATACACTGAGGATCTTCCTCCAACATTCGTATCTCTCGTGAAATAGTAATATTGCAATTATTACAGATACGTCTCTCAGGATTCATATCAGCGGCAGGTCGTTGTGCTTCGTTACGTCTCGTAATTGCGATTTCTCTTTTAACATCATTTTCGACTCCATCTAATCGCACCATAACTCGCGGAATAAAAGCATTATCGCATACAAAACACCGCATGCGACCAAATAAAGCCATTTTAAACACATTCACTCAATACAATTATTGCACGCAATCACCACAATATAATTATAACATACATGTATCATTCACAAGTATGAATGCAGAAAAAAGTTTCACATAGACAAAAAAAGTTAAACCTTCTTTATGAATCTATGCATCTTACAATAAAGCAAAATAGTAAATGCTCGAATGCTATGAATGGTGAAACCACATTAAATATAAAGCATTAATACGACTTTCCAAATGGCTTCGAAAAACAAATGACAATCGTATGTCCTTTTATGATGAAAACAACTTACAATTGTATGTGGGTTGAGTCAAATGACCGTTGTATGTGCTACATGCGTTGAAAACACAATGACCATGTGTACTAAAGTCCTCCAAAAACAAATGATAGTCGTATGATTTTTAGATGAAAACAACTGACAATCGTATGTCATGAGTGAGTTGAAATCAAATGACAGTAGTACGTGTTACATGCGTTGAAAACACATGAAAAACATGTATCTTGAATCCTATAAAAACAATTGACAGTCGTATGTTCTTGCCCGTCAAAAATAACTGACAATAACATGTCTTTTACGAGATGAAAACAAGTGAAGGCCGTATGCCCTATGTGAATTGAAAAACAAATGAAAATCGTATGCTTGATATTGATAATGTGGTTTTACTATTCATAGAACTCGAGCATTTACTGACTTGCTTTATGGTGAAGCAAATAGAAATAATCTCCATTTTGTCTTTGGAGGCTGGGACCAGGTCATTAATTATTTGCTTCTTAAAATCTACATATTTTGTCTTTGGTTAATAAATCATTAGAATCAATGCCTTCCTCTAATAGTTGCAGTTTAAATCTTGTTCTTGTCAGACGAATTAAACAACCAAATAGATAAGTGTCTGGTACCAATACCCCCAAAAACAAAATGAAGATTACTTTCGTCTAATAATAGCTTCTTTCGTACGAGGTGTACCCTGTGCTTTGTATAAAACCTGAGTATTAAAACAGCCATTTAAAATGGTTTTAGTATAGTATACTACAGTTTAGTATGCTATGCTTTGCAGAAAAGAGTTCAGGAAAGTACACTTTCCTGCACTGAGTGCGGAAAAGTATACTTTCCTGCACTCTTTTCAAAGTACAGTAATCAACAATTTTCTACTGCATTAACATTTAAGTAAACTAGCACTTTTCTTGCAAATATTATTATTTATCTACTTTATTAAATAAAACAAAGACTTTTTGACTGTTTTGGCTTTAACAAGAATTATTGTACTTTATTTATGTATTTATAGTTGATTGTTTAATACTATTTTTTATTATTATTTATTATTTATTATTTATTACTTATTACTTATTACTTATTACTTATTACTTATTATTTATTGTTTATTGTTTATTGTTTATTATTTATTATTTATTACTTATTACTTATTATTTATTGTTTATTATTTATTATTTATTATTTATCATTTATTATTTATTATTTATTATTTATTACTTATTATTTATTATTTATTATTTATTATTTATTGTTTATTGTTTATTATTTATTATTTATTACTTATTATTTATTGTTTATTATTTATTATTTATTATTTATCATTTATTATTTATTACTTATTATTTATTATTTATTATTTATTATTTATCATTTATCATTTATTAATTATTATTTATTATTTATTATTTATTGTTTATTATTTATTATTTATTATTTATCATTTATTAATTATTACTTATTACTTATTACTTATTACTTATTATTCATTATTTATTATTTATTACTTATTACTTATTACTTATTACTTATTACTTATTGTTTATTATTTATTATTTATTACTTATTGTTTATTGTTTATTACTTATTACTTATTATTTATTATTTATTATTTATTATTTATTGTTTATTGTTTATTATTTATTATTTATTATTTATGATTTATCATTTATTAATTATTATTTATTATTTATTATTTATTACTTATTACTTATTGTTTATTGTTTATTACTTATTACTTATTATTTATTATTTATTATTTATTATTTATTATTTATTGTTTATTGTTTATTGTTTATTATTTATTATTTATTATTTATTATTTATGATTTATCATTTATTAATTATTATTTATTATTTATTATTCATTATTTATTATTTATTACTTATTACTTATTTTTTATTGTTTATTGTTTATTATTTATTATTTATCATTTATCATTTATTATTTATTATTTATTATTTATTGTTTATTAATTATCATTTATTATTTATTATTTATTATTTATTATTTATTAAAGTAAACTTGTTTTAACATTATTGGTTACCTATGTACGTTTATTAATTCTATCCCGCATATGTTGCGATTTTTGGTGTTTGACCTTTAATGAATGCTAGCGAGTAAATCAACCCGGAAATCGATATTTTGTCAGAGGAAAATCTTTTTTAGAATTACATTTTACATACTTTCTGTAAGTATTAATTAATTTGACCGAAAGTTTTTTTCTATGTATTTTGTGCGGGGTCCTTTGTACGTGTTTAATACGTAACGTCAATATAAAGAAAGTTTTGACATTTCCAAGTGAATTATTTTGTATAGTTTTTCTACAGGACTGATGATCAGAAACTGTAAAATTTGACTGGACAATAACTTGAAGAAATTAGCGTGACATCACTTTATAGTTTTTAGCCAGTTTAACTGTAAAGTGCCTCGAAATTTTCCAGTGGAACTGTCCAGTGCCCTTAAAGATACTATGACAAATTTCTACTAGGGTTGTATAATAATTAAAGATGGTCCAGTGATAAAATAATTATTTTATATTATGAGAATATTGTACTTTTATAAAATTATTTTCATCATTTTAATTCAATTATTATCTTCAAGAATTTTTAACTAAAATTCTTCTTTTAATCAATTATTTTTAATAATTTTCGAAAAAGTTCTTTGACAAATTCAAACAAATTAATTTAAAAATCCAATTATTTATAAATATTCGGGCTATATTGCTTTTAATATTCAATTATTATCTGAAATTTTAACTGAAATTTATTTTTAAATCAATTTTTATTAGAAAATCTTCATAGAATTCAATTATTTAAATACAAAAATAAATAATATTTATTGAATAATTAAATGTTTCTTAAAATTCAATTGTCATGAAGAATTTAATCAAAAAATTTAAAATAATAAAATCCTTTTGACAAATTTTAATACAATTTTTAAGAATAATTACATATTTCGAGAAATTCGATAAAAATTGTATTAAAACTAATTGAAATTCTGAGATGAGTTTTATTGTTTGTGAAAATAATTGAATCCCTACGAAAAATTTAAAGTTTTTTGAACATACTTGAATTTCTGCGAAGAATTTTATTACTTTTGAAAATAATTGAATTTCTGCAATAATTTGTAACTTCTCCAAAATTCAATTTTTTAGTGATTTTAACTAAAATTCTTTTATGAATCCATTATTTTATTTAATAATTTTTGAAAGAGTACTTTGAGAATTTTCAAATTCTTTTGTTTATAATTCAATTTTAGAAAATTTCAATTATTCGGAAATTCTTTAATTAAATAAGGTAGAGGGCCCCAAGGTGTCCACCTTAGGGAAATTCTTGTGCATTATTTCGCAAAAATGAATGCTTCAGGTTATTTTCATTGTTTATGAAGACGAAGTTTTTGGTTATGTTTAGACGTGTATAACTAAGGGCGTTAATTTCTAACAGGGACATTGTTAAATTTCGGTAAAAAAAAATTTTAAAAGCATTGTTTTCAAATTGGTACTGTGATTATAGTTTATAGTTTAAAAGTTCTAAACTTTGTGGTAATTTTGTTTACATATAATACAATAATATTATAAATGAATATCGATAAAATTGTGTGTTATGCAATTTTTTGATAACTTTTAAAAAATGTCGTCCTGGCCCTAAGGTGGCCACCATACGTTTTTATGTAAAATCACTTTTGAATTTTTTTACGATGTAATATTTATCAAAATGTATTATGGAAAATGTAAATTTTATCGATTTGGAAAAATTTATGATGAATAATAAAATAATTTAGTTTTTAATGTATGAAATAGGATAAATAATTAACAATATTTTAGATTGGCTTCTAATAAGCAAAAAACAGAGTTTGCAACTATTGATTTAATGATTATAAGACAAAAACAATACATTTCAAATAAAATTACCTTAAATTGATTTTTGCAACTATTTTTTTAATTTTTCAGTGAATTTTTGAATCGTGGCCACCTTGAGATCACTTTTTTAAAAATCAAAATTGCAGCTGCTTTTCAAAGTCGCCTAAATTTTATTTTCCTTAGTAAAATAAAAAAATGTTTTTGCTAAATAGTTAGATAAAGAGATATAAAAATTATTTTATTATAAAATTATTATGAAAAATTTTAATAATAAATTTTGAAATAGGTAATTGAATTCTTTTGACGAATTTTAATAAAAATTTTAATAATAATCACAGTTTTCAAATACAGTAATTGAATTTCTGTGAAATTTTCGTTATTTTATGAAAATAATTAAATGTTTGCGTTGAATGTTATTAAAATTTTTTTCAATAGTTGAATTATTTTTGAAAATTTTATTAAAATAGTATAGATATTAAAAATCATTGAATTTTTAAAATGTTATTAAAATTTTTGAAAATAATTAAAATTTTATTAAAATTTTTGAAAATAATTGAATTTTGGAAAAGAATTTTATTATTTCTAAAGATATAATTGAAATTTTGACAATAATTTTTAAAGATTTTCGAATATAATTGAATTCCGCACGAAGAATTTTATTACTTTTGAAAATAATTCATTTTCTGCAATCATTTGTAATTTCTCTGAAATTCTCCAAATTATATCGTACAATTTACGAACTTTTCGTCCATTTTCAATCAAATTACGGAGTTTACGGACCTTTTTTCAAAAAAAATTTCTTTTACGAAATTCAAGAAAATTTAAGAACCTTTACGGGATTTGCGGATCTAGGTTCGAGCCCTGCCTAATCAATGGGGCCGATTTTTGGGTATGAAGGTTAAAAAATTGGTCAGATTTGACCTAGGTTTAAAGAGACCTTTTGAGGCTACTTTTTGTCCTGGAGTTATCATAAATATACTATTAGGGGGGCCCTTAAATGACGGCCCTCATAAGGGGAACATATTATTTGAATATTAATATAATGATTAGTTAATTTTTTTTACTAACTTATTATGACTATCATTATCTAGTAATATTGCGCTAATTAAAGTGGGCAAATTTTTGTAATAAAAAATTGATGTAACAGAAGTGAGAGGTAGAAAGAAGAGGGAATGAGGAAGGGAGGTTTCGTACGGAGTGAATTTGCATTAATACATAGTCACTTGCTCCATCCTCTTTTCACCCTTTTATTATATATGACCGTGGAGAGGAAAATGCACCTATTTATAACCCATTAGCAGAGAGTGAAGTTTAATCAAGCTTGCTGAACACCCTCTCTCGTTTAGTTTCTATTTATTGCTGGACATTAATCAATACGTTAAATGCCAGTATATCCAACATCGCGCAAATAGTCATCTCAGAATAGTTTCATCTTAATCAAGTAAACTCTTGTATAAATGTTATTTTCTCACTTTTTTTTGCTTTTCATATGGTATTAACAGATTTTATATAAATATGTGTGGGTGATTTTTCTAAAAGTGACAATTTTCATCTTTTTGTTCTTCAACTTTTTTCTTTAAAATTATATACCCTTTTTTAGAATTGAACCAGCAATAATTCGCGTGCTAAAGCGCGCGGCTAACTTCTTACTGCCTTTTTTTAAAAATAAAATTAGCAATTTTAAAAATAATAGAAGTTAAAAATTTTCTAATTTAAATTTTTGTTGAAAACACTAAAAAATTCAATTTTGGAGAAATTATAAATAATTGCAGAAATTCAATTATTTAAAAAAAAAATAAAAATCTTACAAAATTCAATTATGTTCAAAATTTGAAAAAATGAATTTCTACTACTTAGACTAATTTAAATGATAAAAAATTTACTTCTCTAACTGCAATTGCCATTTACTAAACTGATTAAAATTTCTTTTATGAAATTAAATGAAATTAAATTAAAATTTCATTCTGACTGAAATTGACTTGTATGCAATCTGTAGCTAGTGAATATATATATATATATATATATATATATATATATATATATATATATATAATTATTAACATTAAGTCATTTAATTCTTTTTTAACTAAAGAAAGAGAGGAATGGAGAGAGAGAGAGAGAGAAATAAAGAAAAAAAATAATGAGGGAAAGATAGAGAAATAAATATAGAGAGAGAGAAAAAGAAGGAGAGTGAAAAAAAGGTAAAACGATAAAAGTCATTTCTTAATATAGACGTAAAAGCTACAAGCAAAAGGTCACAATTTTTTTATATTAAGAGAACATATATCCATTAAATTACTTAATATCAAAAGCAATTTTTCTACGCAACTTACTTTCTCTTTTTTTTCTTTGAAAGAGACAGAATAGTTTCTCTTTAAGAAGAATTTTAAAAAATTCTTAAATTATACAGATAGAAGAACATTTTTAGAAACTTTTAAGTGTTTCTCTAAGCAGAGTTAAAAAATCTTACTTTGAACTTAAACGTGCGACTATTAAAAAATTTTTTTAAAATATTTTCCTCTAAGAATAATATTTATTTAAACTTTTTACCATCCACTTGTACGCATATTGAACAACATAAAATTGCGATTATATTACGGTAATGATATATACAAAATGATTGTAGAAATTTAATTATTTTTAAAAGTAATAAAATTATTATCACAAAATTCAATTTAATTATTCAATAAATAATTTACTTTTGTATTTAAATAATTAAATAAAATTTAATTAATTTTATGTTTAAAAAAGAGAATAAATTTAACAGTACATTTTTACAATAAAATTTTTTCCTTTATTATTATTATTATTATTATTATTATTATTATTATTATTATTATTATTATTATTATTATTATTAATAAATTATTATTATTTTTTTTTATTTTATTTTCTCAGTTTCATTTTCAATTAAATTTTGTAATTGGCAAATATAATTTGTAAACATTTTTTTCCTTTATTTTTAAAACACTTTGAATTTTATTAAAACAATTGTAATTAAGAAATAGAATTGATGCAAATTATTTCCTTATAAAAATTGAGAATTTTCTACAAAAATATTAAGAAACGGGAATAATAATGTTTTTCTTCCCAAAACAAAAAAATGAATTTTTAAACAATATTGTTATTGAGAAATATAATTTATTGTTTTTAATGATAAAAAAAACATTTCCTAAAATTTTTCTTTTCCAATAAAGATAAATTAATTTTTTTTATTATCTGAATAAATAAAAATTTTTACTAGCTAATTTTTTATCTTCGAAAATTCAATTTATTCAATTCGTAAATTGAATTTTAAACAATGAAAATTGCTTTTGTCATTTCCAAGCAATGAATTTTGTTAAATTCCTATTTCCTAATGAATTAAAATTGAAAATTGAAAAAAGAAATGCAATTGGAATTTTAACAATCTAATTACAGGTACTTTTTTTTCCTTTGAGAAATTCTTAACGGATGATCGTAAAAATTTTAGAAAAAGCTCTACAAAAATGGTAGAAGAGGACATTAAATATACTTATACGACCTGAAGGGTGTAATGTCGCCAATTCGTTTAGATTCTTTTTATGACTGCAATTCACTTTTTGTGAAAAAAAGTGTGGAAAACTTTTTTTATTCAATTTCACTGAACAGATGGAGGGAGAGATTCAGTTTTACTCTTAAAGTGCATTCAGAAGATTATTTCATTTGCCAATCAATTGACTTTGAAAATCTTAATTTTTACCAAAAAATTTTCTATCTTTATTTGACTAAATAAACATTTTATTTATTATATATTAAAATTTATTATTATTTTCTGAGATGTTATTTCATATTTTGTTATTCATTATTTCCTGTTCTTTATTATTTTCTGTTATTTGTTATTTTGTTATTTTATTATTTACCATTTTTTGCTTTTTATTATTTTGTTATTTTTTGTTCTTTATAATTTTCTGTTTTCGGGTTTATTTTCTTTATTATTTAAAATTATTTGTTGACATTTTCAACAATTTTTATTATTTTTATTATTTTATCTATTAAATAGAAAAATAAGTTTTTATTCAACATTTGAATATTGAATTTTACGCCACTGGGAAAAATATAGGATTACGATTTCAATTTTCACCAGGAACGTCGTTATCAGACGAGAGAGAGAGAGAGAGAGAGAGAGAGAGAGAGAGAGAGAGAGAGAGAGAGAGAGAGATCATTTTTCGAGTCAAGAACAAAACAAAAGCAAAAAAATAGAGGAGAAAAAATGATAGCTTGACTTAACCTCAAAAATACATCTATAAAACAATAAGAAACAATTTCCAATCGTAAATTATTTTTCTACAATTAATATTCGTTACAAACTTTCTCAAATTATACAAAAGAAAAGTTTTAATTTCTAAAAAGAAATACAAAATAATTCACGTACATAAAAATAAATTTCAACAATTTTTCATTCTCTATAAACATCTTACTTATTCTTTTTCAAGATAATTATTCACCTGGAAATTCGTCAACACGACATATTTTCCTAACCGCAAAAAAAATCTCACCGAGAATATTAAAAAAAAAATTCTACATTCACAAAATGTCAAAAGTAAGAGGTTAATTTAAAATAATCGATAAGGGAAAAAGAGGTTCGTAAAGAAAAAAGAAATCCCGGAGAAATGGTTTTTAATCCACTTACAAAAGTTGGCAAAACTGCCGGAGGACTTCCCCTATTGTCTTTAGTAATACAAGTCTGTAAACGATTAACAATACCAGTATCGCAAAAAATAATCAAATATGGCAAATCAAATCCATTTTTTCGTAAATATTTTCTAATTATGCCTGGTCGTTATTATCATCAATTAGAGACACGATCAAAGTCATTATTCGAACAAAATGAGGTTATCAAGAAACAGGAGGAAAAATTTTCAGTATTGGACGATTCAGCGGCGGAAGCAATTGGAACACAAATAATGATTGAGGTTTCTTTATTTAAAATTTTATTAATTATAGAAATTTTTATCAACACTTCGTTTTATCAATGATTAATTAATTTTCACTTTCATTAATTTACTAATTAATATTTTTAATTTTTTATTATCATTATCATTGATATTTCATTCATTACTAAAATCACTATTATATTATTATTATTTTGTTCGTATAATATAAAATATAATTCATATAATAATTATCAAAATTTACAATATAATTTTTACAATTTATATTATATGTTACACTGAGAGACCCTTGAAACTGTAGCGGAACAACGTATGTGACAGCAGCTCCACTATGGTTTTGGTGCGCTGCGGTATAATTTTGGGCGCGTGACAGTCCCAAATGTTGGTGAGCAGCTCACCGAAGTAGTGGGAATGCCGCCTTTGGTTTGCAGCTGAACAACTTTGGGACTTTCACGCTCCCAAGATTTTACCGCAGCAACCCAAAAGTATAGTCCTGTAGCGTTCCTCCAAAATGGTCAGTAGCAGCCTATCGAAAGTCTGCTGCTGACCCAAAGGTCTCTCCCCAATGGGAAATGCCAGTGTAGTGCCGATGTTCACCACTGGCTTAGTACTCAGACGATTGTTCGGCGTAGTCTAGCCGAGCCTCGACAATTAGTGCTGGCGCAGTGCAGAATTTTTGTTTCGCCAAAGCTTGGACAAGCCACGGCGGCAAGTGCTGGCTGAGTATAGAAAAATTGTTCACAACGCTCTTTGCCAACATTGCTTTTTTGACATAAACTTGAAAAAAATTATAAAAAAAAGTTTATAAATGTTTATAAATATAAATTTATTGAAAAAAATTAATATTTTACTTTTCAGTTGTTCATTTTTTATTCTTATTAAATTTAATAATAACAATTTAACACAATTGTCTAATTTTGTAAATAATAAATTATTTAAACAAATTAAAATTATTAACAAAATTTAAACTTTAATCTAAATAATAATTTGGTTCCTATTAAAATACTATTATACTTCTTACTATGAATAAAAAATTATTAAAAAATTACCACGTAATTTAAGAATTACGTAAAATGTTAAATGCAATAAGTAAAGTAATTTAATTTAATTATTTAAAATTTAGTTTAATTTATTTTATTTCAATTTATTATTTCTAACGTATCCCTATTTTTTTCTCATCTTTGACTCAATAACTGTATGTCTGAATGATACTGAGATATTAATACTTTACTGTACACATGTGTCGTTAGCATAGTGGTTAGAGCGTTAGTCTGTTAGTCCGTAGGTTGTAGGTTCGATTCCCCTCGTGAGCAATTTTGTTTATTTTCATAGGTTTGCGATATTTCTAGATTCCAATTGTTAGGTACTAAAATATGAAAATCTAATGCACACTTACTGTAATTGTTTATTATTTAATTTTTAAATGTTATAAACAATTTTTTTCTACTTCATTTGCTATATCCATTGTTAGTCTCCATCTTTAATACAATTTCTTTAAGAAGAGAAATGTTTTATGAATAATAACTATTTATTAATATTATTTACCATTTTGTTGTTAAATTATTTATAATTATGAATTTACGACTAATTAATAACAATACGGCATTTATTGCGGCAATATTCTCACTGGTCCAGTGCTGCGCCAGCGCTGTCTGGCAGCACTGACAGACAGTACTTCGGCAGCGCCAGACGGCGTTATCATCCCAGTGCTGGCTCTCAGCCTTGCCGCCAGTGCTGCCAGTGCTGGCGCAGTACTACGCCAGTTGTAAATTTCCCATTGGGTCAGTGTAGTTTTACTATTATAATTGTTTTTCACCATTTAGTAATATGTTATTGTATTATTATTATTTTAACTCTTAACTTTCATTATTTTCTTTACTATCTATATTCACATTAACAATATTTATTATAATTTATATACTATTTATCATTAATATAATTTATGATAAATTATATTTATTTCCAAAGTGATTATTTTTACTATTATTATTTTTTAAATATTTATTTATTTAATTATTTATTTTTTATTTTCTACTGAAAATTTTTAGACTCTTTTTATTTGGAAATTAGTAGTTAAACTGAATTTTATTCGGACAACAGTTTTTTAAATTCTCTCTGAATTTATAGAAATCAGTATTCAACGAAGATTTGAATAAGAGTTTAGTTTTTACATAAATAATAAATAAAAGTAATACAAATTTACGATTTAAAATAATTTGTTAATTAATTTATTTATTATTTGTAACATGTAAATTTAAAAAAAAATTTTAATCAGTAGATAATGTAGATTTCAGTCAGACAGAATTTTTAGGTCCCTTATAATATAAAAATTAGTAGTCAAAACGTTGAACAGCAAATAATTATTATTATTTTGCAATATTATTGAATTTGTATTCTACTTTTGGAAGTATAATTAATAAAATATGTTGATAAAAGTAGTCCAAGTGAGTTTTAAGTCAGACATGAGTTTTCCAAAGGTACTAGTAAAAAGCTGTTTTAAGTGGACATCGGAAAATTAAATTTCACCACGAAAAAACTTGTTTTAATCAATTCACAAAAAATCACAAAAAGTCGATTGTGTATTTCTCTGACTTTTTCATGATTTCAATAAAAAATATTTATTATTTTTCTTATCCTTTATTATCCATTATTTGTAAATTTAAATAACTTTTTCTTAAATTTTACGAGAATTAAACTATTATATTCAAAGAATTATAATTTAAATTTTTCAAAAGCACTATTTTTTTATAATTTATAAATTAAATTATTCATACTTAAATAATGCTTGTTAAATAAATATTTGAACACTTATTCTTATTTATTTTTTTAAAAGAACTAAAATTTTGAATAATTTTAATGTAAAAGCTTTTTGAATTCTAATTCTATTTCTATAAAAATTACAACTATAATTCATTTAGAATTCAATTGGTTTTCTTTGAATCTTAAAATAAAATTATTCAAAACTTTAATAATTTTTTTAGAAAAAGAATAATAATTTTATATTATTTTAAAATAAATATTTAAATATTTTTAAAATTATACAAAAAATAAAAACTTTCAAAGATTTCTATTTCAAAATCTTTTTGAATTCAATTATCTCTAAAAATTCCTATTATAACGCTTTTAATATTCAATTATCTAACATTTTAACTGAAATTCATTTTTAAATCAATTCTTATTAGAAAGCTCTACGAGAATTTAGTTATTTAATTAAAAAAAATAATTGATAGAATAATTGAATACTTACGAAGAATTATATCAAAATTTTCAAAAATTGATTTTTTCCAAGCGTTTAAATAAAATTTTTTAAAATAATTATATAATACATTTTTTGAGCAATTGATATAAAATTTAATTAAAAATAATGGAATTCTTATTAAAAATTTTACAAAAATTTTTGAAAGTAATTGAATTTCTAAAATTATTTTAAATGAATTTAATTAAAATTGTATTAAAAATAATTTAATTATTTCTAAAAATTCAATTAAAATTGTATTGACTGTAATTAAACTTTGCGAGGAGTTTTATTATTTATGAATATACTCAAATTATTTGTGAAAATAATGCTATTAAAGTTTTTGAAAATAATTGAATTCAGATTTTCGAAGATTTTAATTTGAAACCTTTACAAAATTTAATTATTTCTAAGAATTGCAATTACTAGTAACTTCTCAAAAATTCAATTATTATCTAAAATTTACCTGAAGATCATTTTTAAATTAATTTTTATTAGAAAATTTTACGAGAATTCAATTATTTAAATACAAATGTAGATCATTTATTGAATAATTGAATGTTTCTTAAAATGTATAATTCTTATACATAATTTTGTCAAAAAATTTGTAAATAATTGAAATCTTTCGACGAATTTTAATAAAATTTTTAAGAATAATTACATTTTTTGAGGAATTCGATTAAAATTGTATTAAAATAATTGAAATTCTGCAATGAGTTTTATTATTTATGAAAATAATTGAATTATTTCGAAGAATTTTATAAAAAAAGTTTTAAACAATTGATTTTTTCGAAACAATTTATGCAAATTCTATTTTTAATAATTGAATTCCTGTGAAATTTTCATTATTTTAAAAAATAATGGAATATTCGTGTAGAATTTGTCAAAATTGTTTTTAAATAAGTGAATTCTTTTGGGAAATAATTGAATTCTTGTGATGAATATTGTTATTTATGAAAATAATTGACATCCTCTGAATGATTTTATTATTTATAAAAGTAATTCAATCCCTGAAAGGAAGTTTAAAATTTATGAAAATAATTAAATTACTGAGAAGAATTTAATGCAAAGTTTTAAAACATTTGAAATTTTTGAAAAAATTTATGCAAATTCTATTGTAAATAATTATTACATTCATGTGAAATCCTTATTTTTTTGAAAAATAATTGAATGTTTCTGTAGAATTTTATCAAAATTTTTGTTTTAATAGAATTCTTTTGGGAAATTTTATTAAAATAGGTAGTAGAATATTGAAAATCATTGAATTAAGAAAATTTTTTGAAAATAATTAAATTTTTGTGAAGAATTTTATTAATTTTGAAAATTATTTAATTCTTGTGATGAATATTGTTTTTTATGAAAATAATTTAATTTTTCAATGAATTTTATTAAAATTCCTAAATATAATTGGATTTCAGCGAAGAATTTTGCTATTTATAAAGATAATTACTAGAAATGTTGACGAGAATCTTTTTTTTTAATTTTTGAAAATAATTGAATTTCTGGAATGAATTTTAATATATTTATTAAGATAGTTAAATTCTTTCAAAAAATTGAGTTAATTTTTTTAAAATTGTAACTAATTTCAACACAATTGAAATTAAAATTTTTAAAAATGAAATTATCAGTAAATGATTTATAAGTAATAATTTTATGACAGTTTTCATTAAAATTAAGTTAATTAATTAATTAAGTTATTTAAAATAAATTATTGTCTGAAATAGAAAAAATTTAAGGTTTTGTATTAGAAATGTAAAGTGTGAATGAGTTTTGTCTGATTTGAAAGAAAAAAATTACTGATTGAAGTTAAAATTCTATTATTATTATTTTTTTATTAACAGTTATTGTAGTAAAAATAATAGTATTATAACTATTATATAGTAATACTGAAATACTAATTTTCAATTTAAAATTCTCACAGTGTGCAGCATTGTTGATTTTCGTTTGGCTCTCAATGTCCGGGTCGAAAGGAAAATCATTACCGTCAGAGAATAAGAGACTCAAGGAACTCGACGATTTTAAAAATTGGAGAAAAGAAATGGAACGAAAAGTTGAAGAACAGAGGGCAACAATTCAGGAGTTGCGCACACTTCTGCGTTAGCTATGCCAAAAAGAAGTAGAAAAAAACTCTTTTCGAGAGTCGAAAGGCGCCTGTAAAACGAGACAAGAAAATGATACTTGAAAGTTACCTCACAAACACACAAGACTGTCATAAACTATTAACTTTTCCGGAAGTCTTTATCCAACGGCTTGTTTCCCCTCTCTCTCTCTCTCTCTCTTTTGGAAAATTCACATTCCTTTTCGGGCAATAATCATAATAATAACAGTAATAATAATAATAATCAATAATATGCTTCAATTTTCATCTATATACTGCACCATAAAATTCAGGAGAAAATCTTGTTTTGTTCCGAAATGATGTCAATATGGAATCAATTTAAAAGAAGAAATATAAAATTAAATCGACCGTATCTTTAGCATTTTGTGAAATAAATATAAATTTGCGATTTTTCTTTTCTTTTACTTCGAACAAAAATTCCGAACTCTTTGCAGTACATTTTCAGTACATTTTCAGAAAGCTAAAGGTTACAGAATTTATTTTCATTTTTCAAAATTAGAATTGTAAAAAAAGAAATTCTTGTATTAGTATTGTATTTAAAACATGTTTTAGTTTATAAAAAATTCTAAAGTTAATTTACAACTGTGAGTGTGACAAAATGGAAAATCAAATAAAAAAAATAAATTTCGAATCTACTTTATTTTATTTTTCTATTTTCGCATCCATTTTTTGTTTTAAAGAAGTTTTCTAGAAACTTTCCTGAAGAATTATTTTTCATTTCTTTCTTTAAAAAAAAAAAAATCGCATATGAGGGAATATATTATTGGATCCATTGAGACCAAGGAGCCAAATAGAGAAGGAAAATTAGCATAAGTTTGCATAGTGATACATTTTTATTTTATCAAATTTATACGCTGCATTGGAATCTGAAGCAATATCCTGAAAAATTATTTCGTATGCGCTTTTGAAAGAATAAAAGAATTGAGAATTTTACACACGCTAACCAATTTTTTTCATATATAAACACTATGATTTCCTTTAAGAAGAAAAATTGTGTAAGAGAGAAAAAATATTATCAATTTTGTACATTTCCCAAAAAAAACAAATTCATTATTATTTGCTTTTCAAAAAAATATCAATTTTTCCAAATTTTTCTACAAATCAAAGGTAAATTTTCTTTTTATTAGAAATTACAAGAAAATACAAATTTTTTAGAATTTTAACATGAATTACATAGCTGGAATTTACATTTGCAATCAAACATCAAAGAGAAAAAAAATACACATTCAAAAAAATAGTTCCTTTTATAGATTTTTCTATTTACACTATTTCCATAAAGTTTTGAAGGTCTAAATGAACAAAATTTCTTTTTTTCTTATTTTCAGAAATTACTACTGAAATGAGAATTGAAAAGAAATTAAATATTGAAGTTAAAAATTAACTATATTTAAATATAAAAAACAATTTTCTACAGTAAAATTTAAATTGATTATTTAACCTCAGGAATCAATAAAAAAATTTGTTACGCAATTTTATTGAAACTTCGTAATCAATAAAAAATTTTGTTCAGAAATTTTGTCTTCTAAATCGTTCATTAATATTTTTTATTAACTAAACATAACATATTTAATACTTAATTTAATTTTATAGGTAATAATAAAATCATATAAAATAATTAATTAAATAAAGTAATTTATTTATAATATTGTCTTTATTAAAAACTATCAAATGTTATGCGCGCTAAGCGTAATATTCAATTTATTATTATTATGCAAATTACACAATTTTTTAATTGCAAATATAAAATTTTGAATAATTTCATAATCTAAATATTAAAAATTTAATTATTTAAAACATAATTCATTATTATTGTTTATAATTTCAAAAATTTTAATATAATTCTTCGCAAGAATTCATAAATTTTCATAAATAATAACATTTTTCTAAAGAATTCACTTATTTTCAAAAATTTTAATAAAATTTCACAAAAGAATTCAATTTGTTACGTTCGAAACGTAACTATTTTAATTTTTTTAAAATTTTATTAAGATTATATAGAATCTAAAAATGGGTAAACATGTTAATTAAAATTAAGTACACCTTACACTAAACAAGCATAAATAAATGCTAAGGATTAATATATATATATATATATATATATATATATATATATATATATATATACATACATATATATATACATATATATATATATATATATATATATATATATATATATATATATATATATATATATGTATATATATATATACAGTACCGTCCGAAATTGTCAGTCCACCCATTTTCAAAGGAATGACAAAAATTTTTTAACATAAAATTCATGAAAAGTAAAATTTTTTTTGGTTTATATTTTGAAAGACGATAAAATTTTGAAAAGAATAAAACCTTACAGAAGTCATTTGGCCAAAATTTGTAGAAGATATTCTTAAAAATCGTCATTTTCAATGTTTTACAAAAATTTGAATAACTTCTAAAATAATGAACGCTTTTTAATAATCTTAGGCTTATTTTGAAGACCATTTTCTACAGAATAAGAATTACTTATAGGCATTAACCTGTAATTTTTAACTTGGAATAAGCATGACGTCAAAGTTGGACAAAAAAATTCAAAAAATTTGAAATAATATTATTAAAAGAAAAATAATTTTTGAAATTCAAACATATATTTTTATTAAATTTTCTTGAAAAATCTACACCATATCATGTTTTATATATGTTCTAGAATAGTTTTTAGTACAAAAAATTGATTTCAAATTTTTACAATTTTTTTGTCTAATTTTGACGTCATGCTTATTCCAAGTTAAAAATGACAAGTTAATGCCTATAAGTAATTCTTATTCCGTAGAAAAAGACCTTTAAAATAAGCCTAAGATTATTAAAAAGCGTTCATTATTTTAGAAGTTATTAAAATTTTTGTAAAACATTAAAAATGACGATTTTTAGGAATATCTTCTACAAATTTTGGCCAAATGACTTCTGTAAGGTCTTATTCTTTTCAAAATTTTATCGTCTTTCAAAATATAACCAAAAAAAAATTTTAGTATTCATGAATTTTATGTTAAAAAATTTTTGTCATTCCTTTAAAAATGGGTGGACTGACAATTGCGGACGGTACTGTATATATATATATATATATATATATATATATATATATATATATATATATATATATATATATATATATATATATATATATATATATATATGGGTGATTAAATTTAAAATGTCATTTTTGATCCTATTAACTTTGATTTTTCGATGTTTGATTTTGAACTTAACGATACTCTATTTTGGTTGACAAGAATATATGATGGACAAAAATAATAGTGGTCGAGCAGGTGGAAGTAAATTTTAATTTTCACTAGGTGAAAAACGATAGGCAGAAATGATAAGAAATTTTCTGTATTCGTTTATTCTTTTCTCAAATAAATTCTTACAACTTTAAAAAGTTAAAATATTTCAAATTACAATAATGAATGTTTCAACATGACTTAAAAAATATTTGTAATGAGTTCTGCCATAAATTAATATACTTTTGAAGACCAAAAAAACATATGAACATTGAGGGACACCACTGACATTTTTGAAAGATTTCACTGATAATTTTTTTTGAATAGTGAGAATAGAATCAGCCTATAAATTACAATCCAGTATCATATCTTCATTAACTGCATATAAGGAGTAAATTTAACACAAATTTATTAAAAATAAAATAATAAGCAGCAAGAAACAGAATTTTGAGGGGACACCACTGACAAGGAACACCACTGACATTTTGCTTCATTTCTCAATTTCGAAGAAGAAAGACTTTATTTTTAAGTTAAAGTCGGTGCGGTTTTTAAACTACGTGTAATACCTGAAAACGAGATTCAATAATATTTAAAAAATATTAATATTATAAACAATTTTTCGATGGGGACACCACTGACATGGTGTGCTCGACAAAGTGATACTTGCTTTCTGCCACTAACCGTACAAGTTATAGATGTGATAGAATGTTGTAATGTTTTTTCTTTAAGAAGCTATACATATCACCAATACTATCAACGCTTAATAGACCTTTTCATTTCAATTATTTTCTTTGCGCATGCGTTATATGGAATTGAAGTTCCGTTTCAAGTTTCGGCCCTGTTTACAGCTATTGCATTATTCAGATATGAAAAAATTATAAAAAGTGTTCTAATAATTATTATATGTTGCATAAAAATGGAGTATAATAATTTTAACAAATACTGGAATAAATTTAATGAAAAAATTAAGGACGGAGCATATATTAATTATTTTATCAATAAGTTATTTTTGAAATATCAATAATTTATTTTAGTTTTTTTGCATTTCTACATGCAACGTTAATAAAAACAATAAATAAAAGTGAAAGAGGTAACTATTGTGTTTTTCACATTTCATCAGCGAATAACAATATGTCAATATATAGTAAACATAACCTCACTCTGGAACCAACTCTTTTTTCTTCTTTTAGTTGACTGTTTTCTGCACTGCAGTGATATTTTTAATTGCAAATTTAACTGCGTGTTTTTATGTTTAAATTTGATACCAATTTTGCACCGGACACATTTTCTTTTCTCTATAAAAACATGAGCAAAAGTAAAGTTTTAACACATGTTAATAGAACAGGGCCGAAACTTTTAAAATTGGTGAACTGTCATGGTTGCTGCGCAGGCGCATTCGCGACTTCCGAATTGAAATGAAAAGGTCTATAAGGCAATTATCTGCACTAGGTTATTTAAATATCAGGCATGATATTCAAAATTTGCGATAATTACTTAAAAATATGAAACTTACAGACAGGCGATTTTGATTTTTTTTCTAGCACTGGATCAAAATTATTCTGCTAGCACAATTACTATATAAAAATATAGACTCTTAGCTGTACAAAATAATTTTTCTGGTACTAAAAATGTGAGAATCAACAATTTTTATTATTAGGTAAAGTTCTGATTTCTTAAGTGCGGACAGGGGACACCACTGACATTTTGCTTCTAATTCTTCTGCCAAATTTTTTCAGAAAATTTCTAGCGACTAAGAATTATTAATTTAAGTAGAACGAGTGATTAAGAAAATTAATTGACTTCAAAAACTTTTATATATGAACTAGTATTCCAGATTTTTGGGCAGGACATGAAAATGACATTTTAAATTTAATCACCTATATATATATATATATATATATATATATACTACTCATCAATTTGTTATTACAAATCATAGAGAAAATCCATAAAAAGAAATAGTTATTTAAAATTTTTTTTTAGTATTTAAAATTACTAAATTATCGTCTCGATAAAAAGAATATGAAAATAAATCATTTAGGGAAATGTAGCGACCGTCTCGGGAATTCGTCAATTTTGCAAAAGTATAGCCACCTACACAAAGACTCTTTAAAGTACTTATAAAAAATTACTAACAAAGGAGAATACATATACACACGCGCAAAATCCAATATAGAAAAACGAACTCTATCACGCCATTTACCAAGGAATTTGCAAGCTTGCAAAAAGCTTCCTTAGTAACAATAAAGTATTGGCTGACCGTGTGCATAAGTTTCTCCCACCTATAAAAATTGAGTCAATTTCCAGGGTGTGAACGATTTCCTTTTGGAATTAATCGAAGAGTTTTATTGAGTATTTCCCGCAGAGCGGACGTTTACTGTATCTTTATTTTTTCTTTTCCCGCAAAAGGCGGAAGTAGATTATTTTTCTTATTCCCAAAAACAAGGGTTGAAATTCAAATATTGAAGTGAGTGTTTTCTTAAAAAAAGATAGATTTATAAAAATCTGATATTGTTATTTAACAAGAATATTTATTTAAAAAAAAGGAATCAAATAAAAAGAATATATTAAATTATACAAAAAAACAAATAAAGAAATAAAATATAAAAAGGTGAATATTTAAAAGAGTGAGTTAAAATAAAAAATAAAAGAAAGTAAAATTTATTTAGTTCTAATTATAGTGTTTTTCTGAGTGATTTAATTTACGTCTCAAAGTGAAGTTCAGTTAATGTTACACTGAAAAAAAAAGTATTGAACCAAGAAAATTTTTCTTGGTTGAAGCAAATCGTGGGATTGAATACGGCCAAGACTATTAAAGTATTGATTCAAGAAAACGATTTTCTTGACATAGGATATTTGGGAGAAGAACATATATTCTTGATCCAAGAAAATATGGAATTCGACCAAGAAGTTAGTCTTCTTATACGAAGTATGAAATGTATTAAATGAATAAAATATTTTCTTGTTCTAGGAATATATATAGTTAATTGAATTATTTTATTTGATTCATTCAATTTTTTGTAACGTTCGTTCAAGTAATTCAAGATTTAAATGAAGAAAACATTTATTTTGTGAGAAGAACAGATATTCTTGATCCAAGAAAATATGGAATTCGACCAAGAAGTTAATCGACTTGTACGAAATATAAAATGTATTAAATGAATAAAATATTTTCTTGTTCTAAGAATATATATAGATAATTGAATTATTTTATTTGATTCATTCAATTTTTTGTAACATTCGTTCAAGTAATTCAAGATTTAAATGAAGAAAACATTTATTTTATGAGAGAACGCAGATATTCTTGATCCAAGAAAATATGGAATTCGATCAAGAAATTAAGTAGCATGTAAGAAATGCAGAATATATTAATTCAAAATCATTTATGTATCAAATCAAGAAAGTATGTTCTCTGTCCGAGAAAATATTTTCTTGATTTGAGAAAATTTATAGATTTCAATCAAAAAAATACTTTCTCAATACAAGTAAATTATTTACTTAAATTACCCCCCCCCCTTATCCCCATCCCATATTTTCTAATACTTAGGTCAAACATTTTTATTATTTAATTAATTAACATTTATATTTTTTATTTAAATAATTGTTATTTTACATATATATTTACATTTAATTATTACTTAACACAAATACAACAAATATACCTTGAAAGAAAATTTTCCACGGTTGGAGGAATTGAACTCGGGTTGCACGCACCAGAAGCCGTCACGCTACCACTATGCCATCCTAGCCTCAATGGACA